TGTTTGAGCAGATACCATTTCATGGATCCCATTTGAAAGACGCAACAACCCAGCAGCCCAGCCCAGCCCATTCCCGTACGCGATCAGCCACAGTCCACACGAGTCCATCATCTCTCCAACAGAAAAGGGGAAAAGTGGGGAAAACTCCACGCCGCGGCAGCTTCCACCGCCGAATGCGCCCCCAAATCCAAATCCCTCCTCCACCAACCCCCAACTCCCCATGGCGACCAGGCGGCCTCCGCCGCAGCGCCGCCCCAGCTCTCCGGGGGCGCTGATCGACGACCTCATGCGCGTGCGCGGGGACGACCCCGCGAGCCTCGTCCGCGCCGCCGCCTGCTGCTGGAGCTGGCGCGGCATCATGTCCGATCCTGAATTCGCCCACGACTACCGCAAGTTCCACGGCGCGGCGCCCGTGCTGGGCTTCCTCTACAATGCAACCCACATGACAACCCAGACCGCAGTTCGCGGCGAGAGGCGTTGGTACTCCTCCCACTTCGTCTCCACCGCCACCTTCCGCCCGCCGGCCTGCCGGGACCGCCGCAAGTGGCGAGTCCTCGACTCCCGCCACGGCCTCGCCCTCTTCGACACCCCTAAGAGGCACGAGGACTTCGTCGTCTACGACCTCGTCACCGGCGAGCACTGGGAAATTCACGCCGATCCCAAGTGCCACTACTTCATGTGGTGGCCCGACGACGACGACGACTTGCACGCGAGCCTACGCTGCAACGCCACACTGCGAGATGGACGCGACACAGGGTCATCGAGCTCAAATCATTGCTCCCCACTCCTGTCCTCTTGGACAACTTCGGCGTGACGCCGGTTGGTTTTGCTGAAGGTGTTGGTGTCATCTTCCTGAGTACAAATGCTGGGTTGTACACGATTGAGCTCAGTTCACGCCGAAGCAAGAAGGTGCACAGAATGCAAAGCATCGAAAAGGTCATTCCCTACATGAGCTTCTACACTGGAGGTATACAGAGAAACCACTTCTACTGTTTTTCAGACATGCACTTGAAGTTATGAACACTAAGCACACCATTGACTACTATTTCAGTGTGCTTGTGCTTCTAGCTTAGATTGTTGAATACGTCGCGAGTATGTAGCTTTTTTTCTTCTCATTTTTCCGCATAAGTAGATAGATACTGTATGCAGGTCCGCTCGCTTTGCTTGGTTTTCTGTTTGATAGCCATTATGTTCCTACGGCTACATCATGAATTAATCATCAACGAGCAAGGCATGTTGGCCATCTCTAGTTCATTCTTTTCCTATTCTAGTGGCGCGCAATTACGAGAACATATCCAGTACTTTCTTTGTGTTCTCTTGTGACAAATCACAATATAGATAGATGTCATGCTATAAAATTCAGGATTCAAATTTAACCCATAGCTAGAGAAACAAAGAAAGACATACTCGGTTTTGACAGTAATAGCTGGCAGCTGGATTGTCTGTTTCCCCCTGGGTGTCAACAGTTCTGGATGTCATTGCATTTGTAATTTCCTACAAACAGTTTTCACTGGAAGAAAGTTTTGTATACAATGATGGAATGAGTATTACCACGAATTCTATAAATGATTGAACATTTAAGCCGTGCCTATGTGTTAGTAGATATGAATGAGATTTGCAGGCTAGATCGTAGAGGCAAAATTAACAGACTTGGCTTTACGAAATTGTCCAGCCATGATCTAACGAACAAATTACATTGAAGTCTATATATTCATTCATACTTCTGCGTTGAGTCATGCCACAGGCCTGGCTGATTGTAGATAGCCATGATCAGGAGTTCAGGACCCTGGCCATGAGATTTTTATTGTCATGCTTCTTTTGGTGCTGATACAAACTAGAGAGAAAGTAGACATAAGTAGGCTCCTCTCTACTCATGATATCATCTTATGAAGCCTTGTCTCTTATGGTGCAGAATGGGGGCCATTGCTGGCCTCTGATGAAGCTTCACCCGCAGTTGGTGGTGGTACAACGATATAACCAAATTGCATCAGGGCGATGGGATCTGTCTACTTTTGCTGCCCAGAAGCTTTTTGAAATGAACTTCGGTGTCTTCTGTTGCTGGTTGTGTTGGACAGTTTGGTTAGGGTTCATGCGCTTTTGCTCTATTCTGTGCTTGGGCCGAAACTAAGTTGGTTGTTCTGGGTGTGTGTATTGTGTTGGACAAAGAGTCATGTCGATACTGATGGACAGGGGAGGTGGTGTTCAGAAAGATAAAAGGAACAGCCGAGGAACGGTTTATTTTCTCTCCTGAATTTGGTAACAGTGGCCCGTATGTTCCTATGGCTATATCATGAATTAATTATTAACAAACAAGGCATGCCGGCCATCTGTATTTCATTCTCCATGGTGGTGTTCTAATTTCCCTATTCTAGTGGTGCACTTACACGAGAACTTATAATTTCTTTGTGTTTTCTGTTGACAAATCACAAAATATGGCTATATCATGAATTAATCACTGCTAGGTAGACCATGTATATGCTATGCTATAAAATTCAGGATTCAAATTTAACCCATGGCCAGAGAAACAAAGAAAAGCAAACTCGGTTTTGGTTGTAATAGTTGGCAGCTGAGTTGCCCGTTTTCCCCTGGATGTCAACAGATTTGAATATCATTGGATTTGTAATTTCCTACAGAACAGTTTTCATTGGAAAAAAAGGTTCTTTGTACAATGCAAGTGGAAAGAGTATACTGTGAACTTTATAGATGATTGAACATTCAAGCCCTGCCTATGTATTACTCCCTCCGTCCCATAATATAAGAGCATTTTCGACACTACACTAGTGTAAAAAACACTCTTATATTATGGGACGGAGTAGTAGACCTGAATGAGACAGGCATTTGTAGTTTAGATTGTAGAGGCAAAATTAATAGACTCGGCTTTCCCGAATTCTGCAGTCGTGATCTAACACACGAATTATGTCCAAGTCTACATATTCATTCATACTGTTGGATAATGAGCAACTTGCTCTTACTGAGGGCCAAAGGCCAGTACATATACATGTGTGATAAAATGCAGAAAAGCCCCTTATACAATAGGGATGTACATAATGAACTATACACATCTAACCACCACCCCCCTCAAACTCATGGTGGATCAACAACACTGAGTTTGGAGAGGAAAAATCCATGCTGCGCTCGAGTCTGTGCCTTCGTGAAGAAGTCAGCTAACTGTAACTCAGAGGGCACATAGTGAAGAGCGAGAGTCTGATCCTACACAGCAGCACGCACAAAGTGGGCATCCACACCGATGTGCTTGGTGAGCTCATGCTTCACCGGGTCACGCGCAATACTGATATCATCGGTACTGTCGGTCAGGAGAGGAGTGGAGGTAGTAGCAGACACACCAAAATCCTCAAGTAACCACCGTAACCAGATCACCTCAGCCGTCAACATAGCCATGGCTCGCAACTCAGCCTCTGTACTCGAGCGAGAAACTGCAGTCTGTTTCTTTGTCTTCCAGGCAATAAGAGAGCCACCAAGAAAAACACAGTAAGCAGACAGCGAGCGTCGATCAGAAGGATCACTAGCCCAGGTAGCATCAGAGTAGGCCTGGAGCTCAAGAGAGCTGGAGC